TGCGTCGTCTGCAGAGCCTTTGCTAGCTAATCCTTACAGTACTCGACGTCGTGAGGGGCCTATAGGTATCTTCGACTTTTAAAACCTACTAGCACCAATTCTGCTGCCTTTTGTCAGCTAGACAAAAATTGAGTCCTAGGTGTCTAAACTGCCATTTTTGAGATGAAGACGACTAATTACAAGGAGTGGACTTCTTGGCTTTCGGGCCTTGATAGATAGACCAACTGACCGACCTCTTTTACGCCAGGCAGTGAATCTTTTAAGGTTACTTCGATTCTAGATCACGATCAAGTACATGCTGCGACATCTTGCAGTTCATTTCAGTCGCCCTGGAAGTCATTTGTATGGCTAGAATTATGAAGAGCCGATTGATGTAGGGTGAATTGGAAGCCGCATTCATGATCTGATTTAACACGAATTGCGTGCCATAATCCCTGGTAGCTTGCTGCACCACAAAGCGATTAACCTAGGGATACTTTGAATAGGATACCGGCGTGCAGAAAATCACTGGTATGAGAACAGCTAGGATTAAAACGCATACTGCCCCCACAACTACCTCTAACAAATGGATGATGGAGGAGAAAGAGACACGATCGCTGGAACACAAGCTTTATTAGCCTGACGATTCGGATTCCCACTCGAATCCATTATCAGAGACAACGTCAGATAATGGCAGCAGATTGCCCGGGTGTTGCAGCATATATAAGATGTAGTTGCTAGGCCTAGCACAATTGGCAACTCCCGAATGCATCGCCACGAGTTGCACAAGGTGCGATAATTGTCCTGCAGTAATGGGGAGACACGCTTGTTAAATTATATCAAGTTGTCTTGGCGAAATAATTGAAAATCGTGCGGCAATATACTACAGGCGGTAGACACAAACCCCCACCGTCGAGTGCCACTAGACTCAAGGCTTAGGGGCAATAGTTACCGATTCACCGTCTTGCTCTACTATCCGCAGGGGAGCCGCACAATCAACCGGTGAACGTGCAGTTGTCCATTGTTGATGGTCTTCGCGAACAGACACTGTTCAGGGGATGTGCCTTTGAATTGACAGTTTTCTAGTGCCTCTGGTGTGAAACAAACACAAGCTCATCATTTATGGAGGGTGTTTTCGTGGGGCCACCTGCGGTTCTGAGCGTCAGAAGCGACTTTACCGTCTATTCAGACAGTTTCTGGCCAGAACCGGTCTCCAGTTTTCCTCATTTTGTTGAAGATGTTATTTTTGGTCGCGCTACATGCCTTGGGCAGGCCGAATCGCCCTTCTTACCCTTAATCTGATGTCGTACAGTGTATTGATGCTATACGTTGTTTTCAGTCGACAAATAACTTTTTAAACATATCCCTGCATTTTCAGCCTCTCGTAAGATTATAGCTACACTGCAAGGATGCAAGGACTAACTGATTGGCCGCAAACCTACACCTCCCCTCATAAAGCGATGTTTTATACATTCAACGTGCCCGGATCATGTGGAAAGGATTGACTGGAACACCTAAACAGACTCTTGAACCTATCTTCTGCCCATTCTTTCTGTTTGTCTTGCTGTCAACTAACTAGTCTGACTGTAATAAATGGCAGTTAGGGATAAAGGAAGCTTTTGTTGCATTGTCCTTCCTTCAGGGAACACATTTCGGTAGGATGTGGTTTGTTAGCCCCACCTGATGGACACAATGCTGTTGGGGTTGGGGTTAAGGGTCAGGGCTAGGGGTTATGGTTAGGGTTAGGGGTTAGCGCAACTATTTCTCAACCATTGAAAATACAGCCACGCACTCCCAATAGCTTTTCTTTTTGCATACAACTACTTGACCTCGTCACCTGTGCGTTCTCCGGCTCCACCTGTAAAAAACCCTATTACACCGGTCCCGTATTAGAGGTGACAGGGGTTTGTTTACTTCAAGTGGGGCTACAAAACCACATCCGACCCATAATTCTTGGCGAACGCCGTCCAGAGCATAGGCCAACAGGCGCACTCTGCTAAATTAGGAATGGTTTCGCTACGTTGACAGCGCTGCTAATGGAATGCCAATTTCAGCGTACAAGATGTCATAAGGTCTTCGGCTAAATCTGCCAAACACAAGAGTCCTTGCATTTTTCTCAGAATTCTGGATATCTAATTGTGGGCTGTACAACGCCTCCATTGTCCGTCGATAATGAGAAGGCCTTGACTGAAGATCAGCCAAACAACAAGCACGCTAGTGAGTAGACGAATGAGCAGTCGCAGGGCATGAAGTGGTACCACAGTCAGTCGTACCTAGTCGCCAGTCCTGCAGCTGGGCGCCCAACAAACGATGCGACTACTGGCCTCGATTGACTCAGCCTCTACCTACCTTCGCCGACTTAGTTCTCGGAGCCGCCCACCGAGGGCCGGACGGGACCACACACCTTGCTTGTATCGCACCTCCTCGGCCAGTCTTTTTGATGAAAACACAGGGTGCGCCATTCAAACTGCGACCCGCATTGGAACCAACTCGTCCAAACCAACCAGTGGACCAACTCGGTGTTATCTGTCAGCACGTCCTCATTCACGAGAGCAGAGGCATACGATCACTGATAGTGGGCATTTGCTATGGCAGTGGCCATATGCGGTGTCGGTGGTGACGGGTTACTCGCTGACTCGGATACCCGGTGCGTCCACAGGTGGCTGATAGTGGGACAGCGTTCAGCGAATGTTGGCTTCGAAATAAGCAGGCTCTCAGGTCTGGCGAATAAGCAGTCGCGGATCATCAGCGGGAGTGCTATCAGGACGCGGCGTGTTGAGACCTGGCACGCCGACCGCCTTGCAAATCACCGCAATTACGGATGACGGCGCTGTGACATGACGACCGTGAATCGACATCAAATAAGTTTGCATGCCACTGCCGCCTTGTGGTTCTTGGGCCAAAGGTGTTGGGAGTACCTACACTCCCAAAAACAAGAGCAAACCAACCAATGGAGATCACGTGCGTTTGCTCTCTCTCTACCGCGCTGTCATCTCAATCAGGCGCTTCCCATTGGCTACTCCCCTCTTCCCGAAGGTCATTGGACCGAGTGCCAGCGAACCACGCTAGCGTGTGATAAATATGCGTCACCCTTAGCGAGACGTGACTTGCTTATACGTGTTTGCTAATACACGATCCGTGGCCAGCCGTGTGTTCTTTGTCTGCTGCCTTGATTGGGAACCAGGGTCGAGTGCGCATACGCTCCACGGAATTTCAAGTACCAGGCGGGTCATAACAAATTGGCGACGCAGTTTCTCAACTACGATGGCTGACGAGTACGCAGACTTGAAGCAGATGTTGCATCAGCAGCTGAAGCTGATGGAGGCGCTGACCGTCAAGCTATCCAATTCATCTATGGGCCAATCAAGCGCGGCTGGTGGTTCACAATCTGTTGATCACATTGCCGGCAGCATCTCCGAATTCTTGTATGACCCGCAGGCCCATATCACCTTTGATTCCTGGTACAAGCGATACGAGGACTTGTTCTCTGTCGATCTGGCTGCCCAGGACGATGCATGGAAGGTCCGACTTCTACTTCGCAAACTGGGTCCGGCTGAACACGAGCGTTATGCAAACTTCATCCTTCCCAAGAATCCCCGGGAAGTCGCTTTCAAGGACACGGTTCAGACGTTGTCGCAGATTTTTGGTGAGCAATCATCCCTCTTCAACACTCGATTTCAGTGCTTGCAACTGTGCAAACGAGATTCCGATGATTTCATCACGTACGCGGGCATTGTTAATCGTGAGTGTGGGCGTTTCCAACTCGGTTCTCTCACTGAAGACCAGTTTAAATGCCTTATATCTATCTGCGGCCTCCAGTCCCCCAAGGATGCTGATATCCGGACACGTCTCCTGTCCAAAGTGCAGCAGAACAACTCTACCACACTACAAGAGCTGGCAGCAGAGTGCCAAACGCTGATCAATCTCAAGCACGACTCTGCAATGATTCAGAACCCGGCCTCATCTTTCTCAGTCCATACGGTCACATCGACCAAATCGCATCCTGTTACACGGCCCAAGCAAGTGTCCAAGTCGAGATCTCCGCCATCTCCTTGTCGGCACTGTGGCGCGTGGCATTTCCACCGGGATTGCACTTTCCGCCAGCATCGCTGCCAAAGCTGTAATCAGGTGGGACACCGTAATGGGTTCTGCAAATCATTACCAGCTTCTGGAGGCAAGCCAGCCCCCGCCACTCCTAATTCCAGGCACCGTTTCCGGTCAAAACGCAAGCCCAAACCCCAGTCCGTGAGTAATTCTCTCAGTCTTTTGGCCGCTTTCCAGCTCAATGCGTCTGGTCGTAGAAAATTTGTTGATGTCTTGCTCAATGGCCATGCAGTTCGTCTACAGCTGGACACTGCCTCAGATATCACCATCATTTCTGAGAGACTCTGGCAGTCCCTTGGCAGCCCAACGATGCAGCAGACTTCTCAGTCCGCCACAAGCGCGTGCGGTGGTCTCGTACAGCTAATTGGGCAGCTGCAATGCTGTGTGTCGTTCCGCGGTACCAGCATCACTGCGATCTGCTACATCACCAAGTCTGATCTAAACCTACTTGGTCTCGACTGGATTGAACAACTTGGGTTGGCCGATATGCCGCTCCGCATTGTTTGCAGTCAGGTGCAGATTCCCGCTGTGCTTGCAGACCAAGCCAAGGACATTCTCCAACGGTTTGCTCCAGTGTTCCAAGACGGCCTGGGTCGTTGCACATACACTCAAGCCGTGCTACATCTGTCTCCTGGAAGTCAACCAGTCTTCCGTCCAAAGCGACCAGTCCCATATGCAGCCCTACCACTTGTCGAGGCTGAACTGACACGTCTAGAGGAACTGGGAGTTCTGGTTCCTGTATCCTACTCCGCCTGGGCCGCTCCAATCGTTGTGGTTAAGAAGCCCAATGGCTCGGTCCGCATTTGTGCTGACTTCTCCACCGGTCTCAATGCCGCACTGACGCCGAACTGCTATCCATTACCGGTTCCGGCTGATCTTTTCACCCTGCTAAATGGTGGCACTTGCTTTGCCAACTTGGATCTCGCTGATGCGTATCTGCAGATCGAGGTCGCCCCAGAGTCGCGCGAATTGTTGACCATAAATACCCACCGCGGTCTGTCCCAATACACCAGGCTGCCCTTTGGTGTCAAGACCGCCCCGGCCCTATTTCAACAAACGATGAACGCAATGCTCTCCGGCATCCCTGGCACAGCTGGGTACCTGGACGACATCATCATCGTGGGTCGCTCCCCTGCCGAGCTGCAAGACCGAGTGTGCGCAGTACTTGAACGCGTGCAGGAATATGGCTTTCGCCTACGTGCCGATAAGTGCTAATTCTTCCTCGACTCCATCAAGTACCTTGGATTCGTTTTTGACGCCAATGGTCGCCATCCAGATCCTGAAAACATTCGGGCCATCCAACGGATGCCTGCCCCCAAGAATGTATCGCAACTTCGTTCGTTCCTTGGCCTGATCAGCTACTATAGCGCCTTCCTACCATCGCTGCATGACGTACGGGCCCCGCTCAACCGTCTGTTGCAGAAGGATGCTTCCTGGTGCTGGTCCCCGACTGTGAAAAGGCCTTCGCCCAGCTAAAGTCGATGCTGAGTTCAGATCTGCTGCTCACGCACTACGACCCGACGCTGCCGATCTTTGTTGCTGCAGATGCTTCCAACCACGGAGTTGGTGCGGTCATCTCACACACGTTTCCTGATGGATCTGAAAAGGCGATCATGCATGCATCTCGCACGCTAACCCCTGCGGAGAATAACTATGGGCAAATGGAGAAAGAGGCTCTAGCCCTCGTGTTTGCCGTCAAGAAATTTCACAAACTGTTGTACGGTCGCCACTTCACGTTGTTGACGGATCACAAACCATTGCTGTCAATCTTCGGTTCGAAGAAGGGCATTCCCGTCTACTCAGCCAGCCGACTTCAGCGATGGGCAACCATCCTTCTTGGCTACGATTTCGACATTCGCTACTGTCGTACTACAGACTTTGGTCAGGCTGACGCCCTTTCTCGCCTCATCAGCAATCAGCAGGAACCGGAGGAAGATACCGTGATTGCAGCTATTTCGATTGAGGACGATGTGCGCCGTCAGCTATCAGACGCCATACGAGGTATTCCCGTCACTGCCGCGGACATCCGACGTGCTACTGAACAGGATCCTGTCCTCCGCCAGGCCATCACCTACGTGCAGACCTGCTGGCCAACCACTGCTCTCGCTGGCGATCTTCGCCAGCTCTTCCTCCGCCGAGCATCGCTATCTGTGGTTGACTCCTGCCTCATGTTTGCAGACCGTGTGGTGATCCCATCTTCCCTCCGACCCACTGTACTACGCCAGTTCCATGCGGCTCATCCTGGTACCAGCCGAATGAAGTCTATTGCTCGCAGTTTTGCCTACTGGCCGGGTATCGACGGCGACATCGACGACCTGGTTCGACGCTGTTCTCGATGTCAGCAAGCTGCCAAAATGCCGCCTCGTCAACCTCCAATACCCTGGCAACCACCGGAGAGGCCTTGGTCACGCGTGCACATCGACTTCGCTGGTCCACTTAACGGAGTCTCCTACCTAATCTTGGTTGACGCCTACTCGAAATGGCCCGAGATTGCTCCGCTTAATCCAGCGACCGCATCTTCCACTATCGCCTTCCTACGACGCATCTTTAGCCAACATGGCTTACCAGAAGTCCTGGTTTCAGATAATGGCTCTCAGTTACTTCGTCGTCGTTTGAGGATTTCTGCCGCCAGCACAACATCCAGCATCTTCGCTCCCCGCCCTACCATCCTCAGTCTAACGGTCAGGCGGAGCGTTTTGTCGACACGTTTAAGAGAGCCCTCTTGAAAGCTCGTGGGGAGGGAACCACGGACGAGATAGTCCAGGCGTTCCTGTTTTCCTACAGGACGACACCGAACCCGGCGTCCCCTGGTAGCGTTTCTCCTGCCGAAGCGTTGATGGGCCGAAAATTGCGTACAACTTTTCATGCCCTCGTCCCTACCGGTGCGCAGCCCGCGCAGACTTCTCCAGTCTCTCGTAGCAAGCTCTCCATCGGAACGCCTGTCTTCGCCCGTGATTATCGAGTGGAGTTCCCAGACTGGATTGAAGCAACCGTGGTAGCGCACAGAGGCAGTATGTTGTTTGACGTCGACGTTGGTGGTGAAATCTGGGTTCGTCACCACAACCAGATCCGACGGCGACATTGCAGTAACACAACTGGGCTCGATCCGGCGCCGTCACTCCCCCTTGACATCCTACTGGATACCTTCGCCATTCCGGCAGATCGGTCGGTTCCTGAACCCACTGCTGCGCCTCCTTCGGATGTACCGCCTTCGGTATCAGTCACTGCCCCCTGGTCTCCAGACAACAAACCACAACTAAGACGCCGGACCAACCGCGTGCGCCGATCAACACTGCCGATGCAGATCAATCCACGCCAAAAGCGGTACTGACCCACTTGGAGGGGAGGTGTTGGGAGTACCTACACTCCCAAAAACAAGAGCAAACCAACCAATGGAGATCACGTGCGTTTGCTCTCTCTCTACCGCGCTGTCATCTCAATCAGGCGCTTCCCATTGGCTACTCCCCTCTTCCCGAAGGTCATTGGACCGAGTGCCAGCGAACCACGCTAGCGTGTGGTAAATATGCGTCACCCTTAGCGAGACGTGACTTGCTTATACGTGTTTGCTAATACACGATCCGTGGCCAGCCGTGTGTTCTTTGTCTGCTGCCTTGATTGGGAACCAGGGTCGAGTGCGCATACGCTCCACGGAATTTCAAGTACCAGGCGGGTCATAACAAAAGGGTTATAAGATCACCCTCGAAGAAACAAGCCAAGCGGCTGTTGGGAGCTCGCTTGTAGTCAGTCTTCAGAATGCCTCATGAAAATGACCGACTACAGTGTTAAGATCCGTGCTATGGCGCCTGTGGAGACCGACGCGCACCGCAACCCTGGCTCGGTGGCGCGGGCGGATAGTAGGCGGCCTAGATGACTCGAGAATGGACTCTTAGTATTGGGTGTTGGGATGTGTGAACGACCCGGATCCTGGTACAAAAGTCTGAAGACACTCAGCCTTAATCAGTACAACATGGATGTTTGCTGCCTGCCTGAGGTCCGAATTTCCGACTCAGGCTCTAGGTAAATAAAGTTACCGGGAGTTAAATCATACTCCGCCCTGTACCACAGCAGCCCACAAGACGTCTCCGGTAGACAGTGTGGTGATTGACCTTACTGGAAGGGAGCCGTGCACTATTTGTGGTGGGGCCAGTCATTTACCGATTGGCTTACTTGCGAACATTTCTGTCATTCCCGTGCGCACACCAATATAAGCAGCCTGCCAGCGCAATAAAAAACTTATTCGTAGCTTCAGCAATTAGTTGAATGACTCCCTCACCACGATCTGCTGGTCGTTTTCGGTACTTGAAATGGCTCGACTTGACCTGGAGTCTCTTCCAATATTTGTCTTATTAGCTTGGCTTGCGATGTGACGGTGAGAGATTGCTGGACTTTGCTGATCAGAACCGACCGCCACCAACGCGTGATTCCAGTTTCGCCACAAACATCTGCTGACCTAGTGTTCGAAGACGGCCATACGGCCAGTCAGGTCAAATACATTCTAGTTGATATGCGGGGGCACATCGATGTGCTGGGCCGAAAATGGCAACGAAAGTTCACCTCTCATCTACATCCAAAAAGTCAAATGGAAGGCGCATTTATGTCGCAAAACTTCGTCGACCCAGCACCGTCGATACCGCAAGCACAGAAAACCGGTCTCACTATATGACCCAAGCCGACGGAGGAGGTAGTAGTTGATGGTCATCATTGAACTCGGCAGTCTACGTGCTAGCCGAGATAATTCTTGGATTCACCCAGCAGCGCCACAGTGACTGAATCAGCGGACGAACCCTGCAGTTGTCTGTCCAGACGGCCCGAGGTGGGTCTCGCGACTCCGCACAATGATGGCAGAATCAGATAAGAATGACTGGGAGGAATGTTGAGTTGAAACGGAGACTTCCATGGAGCAGACTTCAGGCGTTGGCATCACTTGGCCAGTCTACCAAATTGTCCGCCAAGTTGGCGATATGCTCTCTGCACTGAGTGACTGTTTGCTGTATGGATGGCAGCTTCATTGTTGACAATTCAATCAATATAGATCGTTGGCGTGAGCTCTTCGTACATCTTGACTTCAAGGATCAATCCATCACACCGTCGTTCTCCTCCACAGGGAGGTTTATCCTTCTCCAACGTATGCAGTGTCATGCGTCTGAAGTCTCTGAACATGGGGCGCCAGGAGAGAAAGGCATTCCTGCTGTAATCGCCAAGCCTTGTGTCGAGACTGGTGCCCTGCCTCCATGAGGTGATTGGGGAAGCATGAGATGAGGTTGTTCGACATGACTTCGGTTCGGTCTATCTGGTGCCTGTTTAAGGAAGGAAGATAAGACAAATTTCGGGAGCTGCCGAGGCATAGGTCTCATGACGTTGCTGCGAAGGTCTCGCTATTGTCCTTAGGCGATTTCAAGCTGCGCGTGACTATGAAGAGGCCTAACCAAGTCGCATTCCGAGCTGGGTGCGAACCAGATATGCACACTGAGGCGCCTTCTACAATTTATATTTGTCGAAATCCGTCGTCGTCGAACTGGTGCTGGTGCTGTCGACGTGTAAATGGGAGACCATCTGAGACGGTGGCATGGATGTAGTCTGACGGTTTCTTACATCTGGTCTTCACATAAACGCTCACCACCTCCATGACCTGAATCCCCTCCAGATTTATGCTCATGAGGTTGTCGAAATGCCCTTAACGCCTAGTCCTATCCAATACCTCAGCCTTTATCTTGCCTGGGATTGCCCTTTCGCGTGGCCGTTTGCGGCGCTACAGTTGCAGCCTCATTCAGAAACCTGAAGGCTGTGATTGGCGCAGCATTTCGAGCCACATCTAGCACATCAACCTGATCTCACCTTATGATAACGGGAAAACTAGCGTTCTCCCAAACGGCGTTATCTGTACCTACGTGGGTAGTGAAGTCGCCAAGGACAAATTTCCCCTTGTTATGCGCAGTGGCATGGAGGGGACAAAAATCTTCGCATAATTTGCTCTTCGCTTCGTCGTGCCTTGTGACTGGGAAACGTGGGCAATGGTGATGGAGACGAATTTGAGCGCAACGGAGCGACCGCTTTATGGACATGAGACGATCGTCGATTCCCCGCATGAGATAGGCAGCCGCCTCACGACGTCGTTCTTGATGGTAAGTGTGACTCTATCGCCTCGTTGTTCTGCCTTTGGATGTTCGCTTCAGAGGGTATAGCCGGCACCCATCTCCCTCAGTTTTCCTTACTCGGAGTCACGGGTCTCATTGGCATTCGCAACGCCCGCCTTGCGTCGCTTCAGTGCACGGGCTAAGACGAACTGTCCTCATTTTCGATCGGTTGGTCATCGGGTTTTCTAAAATCGCATAAACATTCCAAACTGCAAGAATGAGCAAAATCAACCCTGACAGACTGTGGATAAGCAGGGGGATGGAGATATAAGTTGTTTCTTAAGGTTTTCGACATCCAAAGACCGGGACTAGCTCACCGATGATGTGGTTGTCAACGGTTACAGGATACATTTTCTACTCCACCCCATGCGGAAGGGTACGCAACGCTTCCCTAAATAGAACTGCTGGGTCTTCCTGGGAGGTCACACTAGTTTACAGCGCAGACGATCCAAAGTAGCCTGTGTCGTCGAGAGGTTGGCATACTGCCCTTTGCGTAGGACTGTTTATTTTGTAAGGGGGGGAGAGGGTATGGGGGATAAATGGAGCACTTGCCAAGTACGGGTATAGGCTGTAAGGTGTCACCTCATTTTGTTGGAAAACCATGGCTTTTGGCTAGTGTACAGTGCTGACGAACAGATCTTACTCGACGATTCCAACGGAGGCTTCAGTTGACTGTATTGGCCACAGCGCCTTAGGTATCGCCTAAGCGGCGCATTGTAGTCAGACTCTCCAGAATACAGGACGCTGACTCGGTGGTTGATAGTGTGAGGGTGCACTTGCCAAAATGCTGACTCGGGATTAAAACGAGCACTATCTATTCCTTTGACGACTAAGACACAGTAATAAGTGCGCCTCTGAAATGTATTTCTATAGGATGTCCACTTATTTGATTTTGGCAGCTGAAAAACATACTTCAGCGACTCAGAATTATTTTCATACCTGGACTGCGGAGCTCATTGACGTGTCTGAGGTTATTGGGAAAATTGCTTGCATGAATTTAACGCCAACGCTGTCGGATACTTAATAAGGGCAATGGGCCACCGCTGGATGTGTGAAAAGTCAATTCTGTAGAGGTCCTACTCCGAGCGCTTGTCTCAACGCCAGGCCTCTTGTGAGCGTCTGCGCGTGCGCACCAGGACTGTCTGTCATTCGCCCACTCGGTTCCCTAACTGGCCAATCAGATTCAAGGCCGAGTCAGACGTGGCCTGGCTTAAGACGCTGTGACGCATTCGCTCACACGCTTGGGGTGCTGGTCAGCCGGTGCCGGACGTGCCCTCGTACGGCTGCCAACTCTCTCCAACCCCTTCGCCAGTTATTCTGTACCGAATATTAGTATCCTTCCCACTGGCGTCCGCCTTCTCTTTCCATTCGGACCGGGCCCGAAGGTCGTCGTAGCCAGGATCTCACTCTCGGCCTGGCCTGCCGCAATATGTCTACGTACCAGCCCAGGGCGTATTGGGTACGCTAAGTTCACAGCCACACGGAATAATCCATAGGCATTTACAAACTCAGGGACGTTTGCCTCTGGAGGCTAGTAGGCGTCCTGGGCCACCAGTCGGGGGTGCCTGCACTAACGCTTCCACACGACAAAATGGATAGCTAGTGGAAAGGCAACTAAAGACAAGGAAATCTGCGGATAAGGTAATAAGACGTAAACACAGACTACAGGTCTCTCCACTTAGGGCATAAAACAGTTAACCGGAGTAATGGTAGGAGAGAAAGACGATTGGCTGCCTACATTAGTGACGCCCCGCTTTCCCACGAACGGATGGAAGGCTCACAAAAAGCCAACAAAAGACTAAGTTGCTCGCTGGCACTTACCGTCTGATTTTGTTGTCCGTCAGCAGAAAATCGACCGATTACTGCAATGCCGGATCTAGCATTTGCGCAAGGCGAAGTTAGGAATGCATGATCTCGCAACGGGGGTCTGGACTAGGAATGAATATATGGGACGCAGTTGGCACAATAGATGACAATATTCTCCAAGGAAAACGTACGCTTTTCTCCGACGTTATCTGCAACAGGGCTCACGGTCCACAGCTTCGAGCCATTAACCGGATTAGGAGCTGACAGCATAAAGTAAGAACAATGGGCGCTTTCTAGAAACCTTGTCGGCGATTAGTAAGAAACCGAGAGTGGACTACGAAGCCCATTGAAATCGTTATATAAGACGTAGACAATGGCAGTGGAGATCACC